GATCATTCGTCGGCCGTGCTGAAGTACTGCACGTCTCGCCAGCTCTGTGTTGACCGGAGGTTTGTATGAAACGCACTTCGGTAGCACATTGTTGTCGAGACACCGGTGCAGAAGTCGAATCTGCGCGTATTTTGACGACTCTTGAAGGGCAAAGGTTTCCCACCGTCGAGCCGATCGGAGCGCTTCGCGCCCAAAAAGATTGCTGATAGAAGCGAACAGGCGAGTCCCAGGTAGCAGTTCAGAAGATGAAGATGCGATCACTGGAACAAGAAATTTATTTGCCTGGTGTGCGCCAGGGTCACAAGGCGGGCTGAGGACCATAAGACTTGGTTTGGTCGGCACCTCCACACGTTATTTTTAGCGGTAACTGCCGTTTGACTTCGTAGTCACTCCTTGGGACAATTATGTATTTGTGATTGCTTACCACGAGGAGTTTTCCCGTGCAGTGCATTGTTCGGTTACCAGATCTTCCTTCGCCAGAGCCCACGTTTATGCCTCCCAGTAGAGTGATACAGTAATGCAACCCACCACTCAAACTGCATCTCCAGACCAGTCACTGAGCGACCACTTTGAGTGCGAAGATGGTTGTTTTGTGGAGCTCAGATGGGCGCTGAATTCGCTTAGGCCGTGCCCAGTTAGTCGGTTTGGGGCGGACAAGTCTGTCTTTTGTGAGTTCTTGTTGCAGACCAGTGGCGACAGCGGGCATGGAGGTTATTTGCGTGTGGACTTCATTGTAAGGAATCAGGATCGTGTTGCATCTGTCACATCACTCGGCTACTGATGGGAGGGTCGGGTAGTTTCCTCGCCACGTGAAGATTTCCGTAGACGCAAAGAGGATCCAGAGGACTGGACGGACTTTCCTCCCCTGGTTCTGCTGAGCATCGCTCGGCCTTAGAGTTGAACCTTCTGTTATGCCCCATAAATGATGTTCGGCGCCACTGACAACTTACCGGCGAGATGATCTCTACAGCACCTCGCGATGCGATCGAGGATCCCATTAACCTACCTCGTCTCCGATAGTTATTCTTCTCAGTTCCACTAAGGCCATCGGTCTCTGAGTCTTTTTTCAGAAAGACTTTGCGACATGACCTCACGTTTAGCCTCTTTGTGATCAAGTCTAAAGACCACTAGAACTACCCGGCGACGGCCCCTTCTGAACTGTCTCTCGATAAAGGGAGGTGTTCCGCATCCAACACGGAACTCGCGAGGAGGTCGTAAGCGTGAAACGCCTCGAGTATTTCTAGCAGGGGTGGTAACTGAGTTCTATTAAGGACCGAAGGTCAGGACGCAACGTTATCTCCGCACGCTTCCTATGACACTCACTTCTTTGCGTTTCGAGACAACTAAACGAACAAAAATACACAGCATTTCTGTGCGCTATAGAACTGCAGGAAATGACAGGCCCCATTTAAGTGAGTGACTCTCAGTAGAGCCACTAGATCTGATGTGAATTTATGTAAAGCGAACGTGCTACTACTGCATTTTCGAGTGCTCTCGATTTTTCATTTGCATCCCCAAGATGCTAGCGGAGGTTTTATGTCATTAGCCACACTAAAGTACAATGGTGCGCTGAGAAACGTTTGTCGACACGACGTTCCAGTTAGCTGAAGGCGGACGATAGCATATAAAATATGCAAGCGAAATGAAAGCCCCCTAGTGTTTTGTGATCTGTTGTCTAATGGGATAGCACCTTGATTGTTAAAGCCTGAGGAATGGCAGACCTTTTTAAGGTGAATATGAGCATGATCTGCTGTCAGGTATAATAACAACATGAAATTGCTTTGCCGCAGTCTGCCTTTTGCTGTCTTCAGGTTAGGCCGCAGTGGCTTACTAGAGCTCTTCGAGAAAACATTATACTTTGATGACACCACATGTTGCTTGCCAGAATAGATAAAATTCTGGAGAGATTAATCAGTTAGTGTGACCTATAGCAATACCTCCCAAATCAGTTGATAAGCCACCGATAGAGGGGTCTCGGTGGAAATCGGGAATTTATGGGTGGGAATAATTACCGTGGTCAAAGCACGACCAGAAAAATGCACGGTAGTAAAAGACGGACATATAATTGATTGTTTAAGCGCGTCATCCCCTGAGATGCCTTATGAAAGGTGCCTGTGAAAACGCCGAACTAACGCTGAACGTTACTGCAATGGGCTACCGAGGGCCTATCAAATAGTGTGCATTTATTGCTACTTCTTTCGTACAGGGAGCAAGGTATAGTTAATTGAAAAGTCAATTTGGCAAACGCCTGTTTTTGTTAACTCGTTATCAGGCCAAAACAGTTACATAGAAGTTAAAAATACGCTAAGTTACAGAGTTTAGAAGTGATTCACGGGCTATTAACACTCGCCGTTCCCACGCAACCCGCATGGCGAGGTCGGCGTGTCATGGTCATAGGGTCAAGGGGGGCGACGGAGAGGGGTGTCATAGGCTGTGAATAATGTTTGCAAGTCAGGTACGTTGAGCACTCATCAACGAGGTTGGGGTGACGTGCAGTCATCATCTGGGGTCGCCGTTTACCACGGAAGGCAGAGAGCCTGTGTCAAACTCTTCTGACAACATAGCGCTGGATTGGCTAGCCTTATAGCCACTGCCTCGGCTGCAGCTAGCACCTGTTGGCGTAGGCCTCTGGAGAAGCTTGCTGGTGTCAGGTATACAATTTGAAAGGCTTCTTTGACATCGACTCGGTGATTCGTACTGACAAGATGTGCGGGAATAGAACTTGAAATCGATTTGTCTTCATCTCTGCCTGGCCAGGCCGGTATGTGTTCACGTACTCTCTTTCCTAGGCGCCTTATTGCACGGCTAGTGTGTCCCGCTCCACAGGAGCAAGCGAATGAGTAAATGCACATCGCTCTATGATGGATTTGCTTTCCCCGCAGGACTCTGTAATGAATCCCAAGACGTAATGGGACAAGCCGTTGCCGTAACCTGCTTGAGAAATTCGCTTTCATTATTACTGCTTATCTTCGTAACTAACAGGGGAGTGGGTCCGTAGTTCAGTTCATCGTTCCCACGCCGCCCGCATGGCGAGGTGAGCTAAGTACACGTGGTGATGGGGACGGCAACGCACGGCAGGACGTCGGAAACAGAACCACCTGTTGGATACGGATTCACTATACACTTGGCAGGTTTGGAATCGTAGATAGAGGAGCAGTTAAGGCTAATATAGCAATCATCTAATCCCAACTCTAACCCCGGCTGATAATACGTATTACTTTAGGCTACCAGCTGATGGCTCCAGGCGTTGTCATGTACGCAACACATAAATGAACATTAGAAACGGCCTCACCTAAGTTGACAGAATTCTTTATGCTAGGGTGTTAGCACAAGTTAGTCTTGCCAATTTTTGATACATGGTGGATCCTTTACCTATCACCGGCTTTTCATGTAGTGCTCGATGCTGTGACGCCCATCCATGAAAGGCGGAAACTTGAAGCCGACTTGTCCATAGGGTTTTATTTTAAAAGGGCCTGGAAGTGGAATGTTCAATATTTCATTCTAAAGTAACAGAAGGTATCTATAAGCAGACCAACCGCTTTATAGAATGTCGATTTAAACGTCCTATGCGGGGCTAGCTTAGGGTATGCAAGTTCCCTTTTTTGAAGAGACGTAATGTTGAAAACCCTGGAAGTATCCTGTACTATTTCCATTTTCAGATTGGCAAAGTTGAGATATCCGGGTTGATTATTTGAAGGTGAAGATAGGCACTTAAATAAACCTGTTCCGGAGAGCCTGTCTTCATCTTCAAATATTTCCATTTTGCTGGTAATCGTCTGAGTATAGTTGTGGTTTCTCAAATCACAGTCCTTACCTTGGTTTGTTGAAAATTGAGCACATCTTTTAGTAACTGGGTGTTTTGCGGCCTCTCTAGGCATGCCCCAGTCATAATATGATTTCCCATGTTGTTACAACTGCCCTGCGTATTTTGGCCTGGTATTGATCGTTAGGAATTTGCGTCGTCAAGGGATGCAACTGTTACAACCTTTCCCAATACTTTGTATGGCAGTGCACAACGGTTATTACCTTCATCTCAACATACAGTAAATTAGATGTGTCAACGGCCAAGGATCTCGAAGTCGCCATGAATCGCCGTTCCCCCGAATCGGATATTTTCTAACTGGCTGCACATACTTTAAATAAGAATAAGTATGGATAATCATTCTGTCTTGGTGCAGCGGAAGTAAACACATCTGCTGTAGCGGACAGGCACGACCCAGCACTGTTTTAATAGGCAGGAACGCCAAATGTGAGAATAGAGGAGCCTAGTGTCTAGGCACTGTTTGCTCTCTTTCTTCTGTTTCCAGTCGAAGTGTGCGAAGAAATCGACCCTCCTTCCTCGGTGGCAGTTTCCAACTTTCCCCCCGCATAACTGTGAAGTTAATGTTTCCTTGGATTATTCGACCCCCTCCCTATTCTTCGTTCTATGCCCCTTGACTCTTCATATAATAAACTTGCTATAGTATTGGTCTTGTCGTGATCCTGAAGTGTGATATTCAACGATGATGGCTGATCTCAACGATATGCAGATAGGGCAGATTACCTCGGATCCAGACGTTCCACTCCGGGTAACCAATAATGATACTGGTGAGACCACAGCCGCGGAACCCCCGTCGAGGTCGATCGTTACACTACTTCCTCTCGAAAGCTTTCCCATCACCGGATTTTATGGCCTTCGACTTCAGCCAGTTTTCCTGTTGACGAGATTTGTCTCCTCTTCCAAGTTCGCGAAAGTAAAAGCACAGGCAAAATAACAGATTGTGGAAGGCGCGGAGGCGCAATCGATTTTTGCTTTTCGAAAAATAAGTCTTCCCTCCATTTACAAACCTCGCCGGAATATTGATTTTTTGATGCCGCAGTTTGATTGGATAGTCTTCTATCGGAGCACTTTCCACTTCCTCCATTCAAAAGTCGGAATGCACGCACAACTCATATGGCTTTTGCTTGCGTTCCTACTGGGCTTCTGTCGGCAGTCCGCCTGTGCATCGCTTTATGACATCATGCAGGAACCATACCCCGTGAAGCTGTGGTGGAAATGCGGTGGGGTACCGAATCTGCAAAACCAACGTGTCGCATACCTGGAAGAGGCCGCAAAGCAATACTACATGGCACGGACTGCGGGCAGAGACTTTCAGGATCGGATGCTGGAGCAACACGTTCCGCCGAGTTCTATTCTCACGCATGATAAGTACAAGAACCTGCTCCGCATGGTCCTCGAGGAACCAGATGAAGGCCTAGGAAGTCAGATTATGATGCGTATGAACTGTGAACTTTTTAACGATCTGGAATGGGCACAAGAAGAGTTTGAAAACACTCTGTCTCGGAGCACTGCCGGTGTTCGAGGAATTCTGGATACCATCTATCGGTGAGTTGGACGAGTTGGCTGCCGGCAGGCTGAAGGTTTAGTTTTGCACGCCGGGATCGGCAACACTGAGAAATCCATGACAGAGACGCTAAGTGTGAAGGCGAGATACGCATTTCACGCTAGGCAAACCCCATTTTGTAAGGGGTTTAACAGCAGCGTTCAATAAGCCAGTACGGGTCTACCTGCACACAGAGACAGATTAAATAGTCATCCTTCATCGTCCCCTCCGTTGTTAAATCACCAAAAGGGGACAGTTTGGGTGTCTTCTCTGGTGCTACAAGATCGGACAGCATGTTAAGCCATCGATATTTTGGTTAAATGAATGTCCCTCCGAGAACCTGTCGGAACCATCATCATTCATGTTGGCACGATAATTACTCGGCAGTTTGGCACTGACACTGGTGCGGGTGGACGCTGTTTCTAGTGCTTTATATCAAGGCCACATTCCGAGGTGACCTAATCGCAATTAGGGATCCCTCACTTTGGCAGTTCGACCGATGTTGCCGACGATGTCAACGGCGTGCTCCAAATCAATGTGGAAACAGACACGTTGACTTGCACGCGAATTAGTTTCTGGTGAGGTTGGACTTGCGCAGCGTCTTCCGCACCTGAGCCCGGTGTCAAGGCAATTGAAAAAGAGGTGACTGACGCGGTCGGGGCCGCCCCTTGAGGTGCCGCCACACTCGGATCGGGTCCAACTAGGCGGGAGTGTCAGAAAGACACGTACAGTAGGTGGGCTAACTCATGAAATCTCAACAGAAATTTCGAAATGCGCTTTCGTTTCGGAAAGATTAATTAACTAGGGTTCTAAAATCAATCATCGTGCAGCATAATTCTATTATAATTCAGTTACTTCGAAATTTCGGCTTTCGAACAAACTTCTTTCCGGCTGCAAGTAAAAACCATACTCCGTAAAAAATGACTACTTAGGTAGCATGCATTTTTTCATTGATTTTCGATGCCCTTAATGATTCAATTACATTTCATAGAAAACATGCATAAAAATATTCATTCTTTTGCTCATTCAGAAGAAAATTACATCTTCTTTTAATTTTACACTCGAAGGAAGGGTATAATTCGGTTCTAAAAACTTTTCCAATTCCCGAAAAATTTTGAATACGACCTGCCGTTACACTCGCATTCAGGGTTTCCAAACTACAAGCCATATATTTTCCGTGTACGCAAAGCCATACATTTATCTACCGTATTAAAAGTAGACCACATGGTGTTCATAAAATGAAGCAGTGGATTTGAGCCACATTGTTAACTTTACAAGTCACATTGGTAAATGCAGAAACATGACGTTTTATGAAGGACCATTTCACGGTATTAAAGAATCTCACAATTAACAACTTTTTAAAAACCGAATTATAACCTTCGTTCGAGTCAAAAACTAAAAGAAAGTTAGTCCACCTACTGTAGGTGTAACGTACGTCCTAGATGCCTGAACCGGATAGCTCTAAGCACGATAAAAAAAACTAGGCTTTGGACCAGTCACGAAATGCAAAGGCAGTGGTTTTCAGTCCAGCACGCACGGCGCCACACGTGCAAGAATCAGTACGAAGGAGGGAACCAATCGCTGCAAGCACTGCTGTCGTAGCGGATGCCGGATAGGTGGGGCCTTGTCTTCTCCAACAAAGTGTCCAGGACCGAGTCTCGTCCGGTCAATTTTTCCCTGATGACGCCCACCAATGGGATATCTCCTGATGCCGAATCAGTTCTGGCCGAAACCTCCGTTCAAGGCGACCGCAACATCGCAGGAAGCTTACCTTGCTGTTCTAGGAGGTGTGGCGTTAATGCAAGTTTTGTAATTTTCTAGGTTGTTGAAAACGAAAAAGCAGTCGGAAAAACCGAGATAGTTACTTCGGAACTTTTTCCCTTTGTATTACCGGTAAGATCTTTGGCCGAGTGTTATTCGATCACTCGAGCATCTCAAGTAACTAATTTCATAATCAACCCACGGACTGGTCACGGTCCTGGCCTACTTTTTAATTTAATTATAATGAGAAACGTCCAATTCCCCCATCATTAGACTGACCTCTTGACTTTATCTTGGCCCAGATGGGTAGGAGGAGGGGGTGGGGTAGATGCTGCGCAAGTCTACTACAATTAGATACTAATTCGCCTACTACTACGCCTGCCACACACGACCTGGTATCATACTCCACACGTATCAGAATGCTTTCAGGGAACTGTCTCTGACCTCACACAAGTGAAACAGTGATGGCCAGCGCATTGACAGGGCGACAGCGCAGTCTGACTGTGGGCCCTTTCGTTTGTAATCTTGCGCATCACGACTGCTAGCGGGTCATGACAGTTAAACAAAGCACAGCACGAATATCTCTGACTTTGTTTTTTTAGACTTCCGACCAACCATTTTCAAGATGAAGGTGCTGATTATGTATCGACAGGTGCCAACTGAGGACTAAAACTGACTTCTAGTAAGGGTCAATAGAACCCTACACAAATTCGGGAGAAATTTGCGTACCACTGGAATACCATCTCATGGAACATCATGATCGAATAGTAAACTAAGATTCGGGTCTCTAAAACCAGTCAGACCTTCGGAAGGCATAAATACTCATTTTGGGATAGCTGCGGCATCCGACTAAATGCGAAACCGATGATGTCCGAGGCCTTAGGGGCGGAGACGGAGACAGTGTGCGAAAGCCAGTCAAGGAATCTAACCCGCTTTCAACTCAGTTTCCTTCGAAGTACACGGAAAGTAAAATGCAGGAAGAGGATCTGGAAAGAACGGGTGTCGAAGTAAGATAATGGACAACGAGGAGCTCTGTCACTGAATCACGAGGCCGTTAGCTTGTCGCTTGCAATCAGACATATAGAATGGCAGTAGAGCGCTTATGAATCGCGTTACGGAAGTCGGCCATCCCGTCGTGCCCCGCCAACAGCTGCGCAGCAGCGCGTAACAAAGGCAGGATGGCATCACCGACAAAGACGAGGGAGACCAGAATAACTATATCTCGCATATTTGTCGTCGTCAGCCAGTCATACACAACCCCGAGGCGTGGAGCACCTGGGGCTGAATTCCGCGACCTGTTGATCAGAAGTCCATCGCCCCTAACCGCTGGGTATGGCTGGCTGACGACGGCAAATAAGTCAGAAACGGTCATTCCAGCTCCCTGTCTTTGTCGATAATACTGTTCTGTCAGTATTTGTTTCAGCAAGCTGAGCGCTAGTATTCGTTTATACTAGCCACAATGCGAGAGGTGTGCATGCGCCTCAGTCATGTCCGCCTCCGGCCAGTCATTGACGAACAAAATATCGATCGGCGTCACGGTGTCGGCAAACCGAGAACTGGTCTCGACGCGACGCAAGTAACGAATTAAAAAAGGAGGAGGGGCTCCAGTAGCTGTCGCCACGCCCAGTAGAATGCCATATTGGCGTGCTCCGCATCTACACTATGCCGAGCCCGAACCAACCGCGACTGAAGGGCCTCGTCGCAACTATCGACCGCCGAAGTGGACAAAGATGCCTCCTAGACTCGCCCAGGTCGACGAACAGACCTGGCGAAGTTTAACACAGGACTGATAGGCTCGCTGAACAGCCGCAAAACTGGGGTGGCAGTTTTAGATGCCAGGTGAATGCAGGAGGCCAAGGCGATGTGGTGGGCGTGGAAGACTCGAATGCAGCGGACCACTGTCGCCAACACCCAGCCTCTGCCAGCATTTCCGCATTGCCAACCAACATTCAGAGCACGACTTGACCTTTTTGGACATCTCCAGATTCACTGCAATCTCAACATGTCAGTTTCACCTCCAGCCCACCTTCACCACTAAAGTCCTCACGGAGGACACTCCTTTGATCCGTCCTCACAGTAATGCCGTCTTTCGGTCCCGGTCTCTCTGTGGGGAGTGTTGCATAGCGACCAGTAGTTAATAATACGCAAGTATTACGGACGGAGACAAGGAAGGCTGTAGTAAGCCTTATGGACTTGGTCTCTGTCGTCATCTGGCCTGGGTAGATCAGGGACGAGAATCGGGATCCAGTTGGCATTTGAGCTAGGTACTCTACTATCGGCTCTCTCAGGCAGGATCTGACAACGAATTCAAAGTTTAACTTAAAGCTCACTTAGGTTCCTTCTGATTTGCATAGTGCAAATGAAACCTGTAGGTCACGGAAGTTTTTGAAAGATCCTACAGCCCACTTCGTCGCCGCATCTTCTAGATGATGTCTGTCAACGCTCCCCATCAAGTGCTGAGCAAGGCGTTTGATTGGTCAGAACAGTAAGTAGAGTCCCACACGATAATGCCCTAAAAAAAAGTTTCAACATAAAACTGGATCCTCCGATGAGACCATATTTCAACTACTGTTGCGTATCTCGACACTACCCAGTACCCCTAAGCATACTGAACTAATGGTAAAGGGGCGCTCACCGATCGTGCTACGGATATCATTCGTCCCGTTGTACCTTGGGGCTCCCTCTCGAGCTGGCGACGGCTAATAAGCCAGAAGTGCCCATTTCAGTCTTTCGTGTCTTTGTCGGCAATGCTTGCTTGCCTATATTACGCGCCACTGTGTGGCTGCTGGTGGGGCTAGAGAGAGAGCGCCAGTGCGCAACGGGAGGAGTGAGTTTCATAACGCGATCCGTGAGCGCCCATCTACCATCGTGAATATACCCGATCGCAACCGACAGGACAACAAGCCCGTGGCTCAGTGGTTAGAGGCGTTGGACTTGTAACCAACAGATCGCAGGATCGAGCCCCAGGTGCTCCACACTTCAAATTGGGTGTGACTGGCTGACGACGGCTAATAAGCCAGAAATGGCCATTTCAGTCTCCCTTGTTTTTGTCAGCAATATTAGTCTGCGTACTGAATTAATTTGAGAAGGACTGTTGGTTGCAAGCTGTCGCACATTATGAACAGTCGAAAATTGAAATTTATATTCCGCTTTCCCGTGTACACCTTCACCATATGATCAATAATTCAACCTTCTCTCGACCGTAAAACCTTTTGGTTGTCTTTACATGCCCAATCGCAACGTGTTGCCCCCCCTCTCCCCCCCATAGGATGGGTTTGTGCATCCGAGGAATTGACAAGCACCTCATCTGTCTGTCGGTTGCAAGCTGTCGCACATTACTGACAGTCGAAAATTGAAATTTATGCAGAATGACATTACCGATAAAGACAAGGGAGACTGGAATGGCCATTTCTGGCTTATTGGCTGTCGTCAGCCATGCATACCCAACCCCGAAGTGTGGAACACCCGAGGCTCGAACTCGCGACCTGTTAGTTAGAAGCCCACGCCTCTAACACACTTCGGGGTTGGGTATGACTGGCTGACGACGGCTAATAAGCCAGAAATGGCCGTTCCAGTCTCCCTTGTCTTTGTCGGTAAGGCCATTCTGCCTATATCATGCGCCGCTGTGCGGCTGCTGGTTGGGTTCGAGAGAGAGTCCATAAGGCACAACGGAACGAGTGAGTTCCGTAATAACGATCGGTGAGCGCCCCCTACCATTATTGAAATTTATATTCCGCTTTCCCGTGTACACCTTCACTATATGATCAATAATTCAACCTTCTCTCGACCGTAAAACCTTTTTGCTGTCTTTACATGCCCAACCGCAACGTGTTGCACCCCTCTCCCCCTATAGGATGGGTTTGTGCATCCGAGGAATTGACAAGCACCTCAACTGTCCGGATGTCTGCCGTGCTCGTGGGCCGAAGTTTTGTGCTAATGCAACCCACTCCCTTAAAATCTGCGGAACAATTACTCCTGATGAGCTGTCCCGATATTCATCAGAAAAGGAGCCAGACGATGCGACGAAGTTGTCGGATGAATTCAAGAAGTGGCATGCAGCAATTCCGATGTCCAAACGCTTCCCCCTGGAATTTTTTGAACGATTTGTTGAAAATAAAGTCTTTTTTAAGAATGTCTTTGAAGCCCAACTGCAGGCCGCCCAAATACCCTTCTGTATCTGCGAGAACTTCTTTAAGGTAAGCAGCCCTCTTCTGAGATCGCTTATTTGAAAAACAAATTGTGGTTTTTTGTGTTTGCGGGTGAACCTCTCGCAGCAGTTGTAGTAATAGCCAGACACTATCCACTACGACACTTAGGCCTGGTCCCGGAAAAGGGGGTGAGATAGACACTAATGGAGAGGGAGGAGGGAGTTCTGTCCGCAGTACAGAACGGATGACATATAAGCTGCAGAAGCAAGTTGACACTCTTACGTCCAATGAGTGTCGGGCGCTAGCTGTGGCGGGTGCCCGAGTGTCTCAAAACTGGTTTGCCGGATTCAGTGTCTACAATTAGCCGAATTCACACGCAGCTCCCCAGATTCAGGTATTGGTCAGACGCGATGTGAACACCAAACTGAGCCTTACTGGATCGGATAAATGACTACTGCAGGTGTACACGTGTAGGTATATGCCAGACCGGTCGCTAAAACGGGCCACGCGGTAAATGCGCTGGACCAACATGGGAGATGAATCGGACACTGCCAGCCGTTATCGGGAGTGCGCACCCATCACAAATGCCAAAATTCGGAGTGCGGTGGTAGGCCTAGTTGCATGCTCAAACTGCGTCAGTTCGGATCCCCGCCGTCCCCCATTGCTGTTGTCGTTGTTGTTGAAAATCCTGGTCGAGTGTTTGTCGTGGACCAGGGGGTGTGGTGGCACGCCTAAGTGCAGGTTTGGTCATACTTGCCACCCGCGCCCTACCCCACCTCCAGTGTTCTTGTCACCGGGCCGAGGTGTGGGGAGGAGAATGTGCAATAGATGCTGCGAAAGTCAGCTATCACTATAAAATAATTCACGCCCAAACCACCGTGCCTGCCCCACCTTGCTGTGTAACACACGGTGGACATCGTGGATGACGACGGTCGAACTGTCATAAGGCACAGCACACAAATGTACAGCTTTGATGGAACCAGTGATGGAGATCGCAGTTGCAGGCATAGGCCGCGCCGATCAAGATCCCTGTCGCCCCCACCTGCTGTTGTTGGTCAAAATGCTGGTCAGGTATTTGTCGTGAACCAGGAGGTGGGGTGGTACGCCCAGGTGTGGGTCTCGCCGTGCCAACCACCTGCGCCCTCTCCCGCTCCCCGTCTTTTTGACACCGGATCCAGGGGGGAGAGAAGACGAAACTGCAGTAGACGCTGTGCAAGCTATAAAAGGAATCATGCAGAAGTCACAGCGTCCGCTCTCACCCTGCTGTTGAGCACACGGTAGACATTGTCGGTCACGACGGCCCAATACGTCAGACAGGAACAGAGTGTTGCAACAAACGTCGGGAGTCAGGTCACTACAAACCTCTGTAAAATCTTATTGCCTTATGGAGCTCTTCCGAACCCTTTACAACAAGCATTACGTCCACTGTTGTCAGGGAGACGTACCCATATCCCCGAAGAGAGTGGTGTCGACCCATGCATGAAATGGCCAACCCTACTTTGCAAAACTGACCACTTAAACGATATGAATTTTCCTAGTTGATCTTCGATGCCCTTATAAATTCAGATATATTTTACAGAAAACATGTCCAGAAACATTCTTTCTTGTACTGCAAATTAAGTCCTCCTCAAATTTTATTTCTGACGAGGGAGTATCATCCGGTCAAAAAAATTGCAGATTACGGACAATTTTGAAACCAACCTGCCGCTCACTTGCATATAAGGTTCTTAAACTACAGGTTGTATACTTTGCGTGTAAGGAAAATCGCGCATTTCTATGCGCTATTGATAAGATGTCGTATAGGATTCTTAATGTTTTGCAATAGATATGGACTATTTTGTCCACTTTATAAGCAGCATCAACAAAAGTGCTGGTACAATGCTGTATGGCTGGACAATTCGTGGAAAATTTTTAAAATCGAAAGATACTCTTTCCTTAAGTATAAATTCGAAGGACAGGTGATTTGCTATCAAATGGGCGCAAGAAAGAATATTTTTGTGCATGTTTACTGTAAACTGTGCCTGAATTCATAAGGGCATCGAAAATCAACGGGAAGAATCCACACAACTTAAGTAGTCGTTTATGGCGGCTATAGTCTCTGCAGGTGGCCGGAAAGATCATTCAAAAGACGGTTCCCTGTCGCGGCTAAAATATCTCGGGATTCTTCTGCGTGATAGATAGTATTACGGCCATACTTAAGTCATCATTTTAAATTGAAAACACATTTCAAAATTTCGTTAACGTCCTACAAGATAGCACATGAAGTAGGAATGATCGCGTACTGGTCATTTGGCTTCCAGAAGCAAACGAGTTCCGTGCAATCCAGATCGCCAATACTGGTCCTCACAGTTCAGGGCGCAGTGGGACGGATAAACGACCTCGCAGATTTGTAAGTCAACCTCAGGTTGTACAATTCACTCAGTATTGTGCCGGCCGCATGGGTTCATTCTCTTGGCTTTTCTGGGCAATTTGCCTGCCGAGGTTGGATGGATATGCGCCCCTTTGCAGTGCATAGTCTAAATGTCCAGTTGGTGCTTTAGTAGCCACTGATTCCTGGCACGGTATTTCTCAACCGAAACCTTGCCCGAACATTTACGACTAGGGACTTTTGACGCACCGTCTCGCTTTTTCGGCTCCTTTCGATGTCTGTGCAGAAATTATAGTCAAATTACACATTAACCGCTGTGGAGTGAGACGTTCTGTCTGCGCCTGTCGCAGCAGCAACCTGCAACGCCAGTAAACGCCAAGTGCCATGCGGGATTGCTGTCTTTACAGAGTGCAGCCCCGAGAGGCTCGCTCATGAACGGCTTCTTCTGTGCTCACCATCCGTGTTCTGACAATAATTCAACCACCAACCATAACTCCGTCAGGCAATGAACTGACTGGGAGGATACTGCTTGATGCATGAGAGTTTAGGCTAAGGATGAAGTTTTTGTGTGGAATTTTGAGTCCGAGCCCGTCGGTGTGATGACTACTACGGGTTTTCATCTGTCTGTCCGGTTTGAAATCTGAAACTGCGACGAACGCCTACTGCGTATGGAAGATTTGTCTTGCAGATCAACTTAAATCACCCTATATTAGGAACACCTTGCAAATCAAAAGGAAGAAAGTATAAAATGTGATAGTCGGCAGCTGTTTCGAATGACGTAAATGGGTACGTGGTAATGGATGTAGTGCAGCTGCAGGAAAGGCGACTATGCGGGAGAGGCTGGCAAGTTGTCATGGACGCGGGTGACCGAACCCCTAGCATCGGTGAGGAAAAAAAGACACCAACTCGCAGGTTGCGAGTCATGTAATGACGTTTAGCCACACCTTTAAAGTGGAGGAAACCAAAAATCACGCCACAGGTGACAACGAGTTGAGTCAAGAGCAGCTTAAGTCATATTTATCATATTTATTGAAAGCTACGTATGCTCACCACCTCGTCTTCCGATTACTGCTATGGGAATTTTCGCAAATCTAAGTCATATTTCTTTGGCCTGCAGGCAACCGACAAGTGCAGGCGAAAATCGCTCCCAGTGGCAGTATCAGTGAGAAAAAGTTCTGAGCAGTTATCACGCCAATCACTTAACCGGGTGAGGAAAATGAGAAAGTAGAGACTTGGACTCTGGCGATCAGGTCGTCATCGCACCCAGAACGAACATTGGCGACGAATACGGTAACTGTCTGGTGCTGTGCCTCAACAGTATCCCATAAACTCTGGACTCCTTAGTAACCCGGTGCCATTATATGTCAATGCCTCTGCTGACGGATTGGGGCATGAATCCAAAACGTCAAGTAAATAGCAGTCTCGTTCCAGAGATCGAGCCTAATTCTACTTACTAGGTGTTGAATCCAGCTGGTCAACGCTTGGAATTCTCCACGCCCTCCTCGCAAGTGCTTCCACATTTGGCCCCTGTTGACATTTCTCTTCCCCCCCCCCCCTTTTGTAACCCCCTTTCGAGCGTGATCGGCGTTCTTTTAATCGACTAGTTTTTGTACCCTGACCTTGAGCTGCGAATTCGATTTGCTCGAACAGTAACAAAGGAATTCTTTTTCTAGGGTATCCGTTGTTGAGGTTTGTACGTTTTATATTTTTACCTTACTTTATCACTAGTACCGTGTATACACCGAAATTTGTTTTGGCCTATACGAGTAACTCAATTTACAAAGAATTCTACACTAAGTGTCCTTCGGTAACCGAGCACGTCTCCTCTCCTCCGTCCTCATGGGCTTTTGATATTGCCGGTCTCCTTTGACATGACCGACTGCAAAGGCACCTACACAGATGCGAACCATATTGATGAAATTTTCAGGCGATCGACCAAGGCCCCACTTGGATTGACAACCTTATTCTTTTACCATCCGTATGCTTCCTTAGTTACTGATTAGGAAAGTTCCTGCCCACCGAAATGCCTTTCTTCTGATAAATGAGTCCATTCCCTAAGGTTTAGGAATGCTCCCAGGCAAACAACCGGATATTCTGCTGCAAAAGAAAGTAAGTCTGATTGCCTTTGTGCATATGTCTTCATCACGCTTGAGCATATCGGGAACGTAACTCTACGTTTCCGAAGCTACCACTAATATCCGCAGTTTTATTTTGCCTTTTGCAGTATGATTTGGTGTTGAAAGCCTGCGTTGAGGACGCCGGCGAATCCGCATGTGGAGCCGGAAATCCCTGCATGAACGGCGGGGAGTGCACTAAACCCGATCCCTCAAAAGCCAAGAAGTCTTCCTCGAGTAAGAGAGTTGCGAATCCCCTTTTTGAGTGCAAGTGTCTGCCCGCCTTCGCAGGAACCCTCTGTGAGAACGATGTTAACCCCTGCATCAAAGACGACGGCATAAAGTTCTGCGCTCCCTTCAGATGTGCTCGTGCTCCAGAGAATATCCACAAGGGTTTTCGGTAAGATCGGATAAATCTAGATCGGTGTGTGTGTGTGTGTGTGTATCGTGCCCGCCAAACGGGCCATGTGTTAGATGCGTTGGACCAACACGGGGGCCACATCGGATTCTGGCAGGCGTTATCTGTGCGCAATACCAAATGCCAACATCTGAGGGGTGCGTTGGCAGACCCCGTTGGCGGCAGTCGCCGCATAACTGGGACCACTGCCATCATCCCATTGTTGTGGCGTTCAAAATCCTGGTCATTTGTTGTGTGGACCAGGGGGTGTGGAGTGGAGCGCCAAGGTGAGGAGCCGTCCGAGCCATCCATCTGCGGCCTCCCTCGTCTCCGGTCTTCTTGACTCTGTCTTGATACTGGACTCAGGCGGGGGAGGAGGAGAGAGTGTAGGTAGATGCAGCGTAGACATATCGAATTCTGACATGCGTTATCGGATTTACGTGCTATAACAAAGGCCAACATTTTGGGGTGCGGTGACTGACCCGATTGCCGGCAGACATCGCGCACAGTGGGACATCTGATGCGCCTCCATTGTTGTTCTTGGTCAAAAACCTGGCCATTTCCTGTGTGGACCAGGGAGTGTGGAGTGGAACGCCAAGGTTAGGGCTCGACCGTGCCATCCACCTGCGCCCTTCAACGCCTCCAGCCTTCTTGACTCTGTCTTAACACGGGGTCCAGGTGGGGAAGAAGGAGATAGTGCGGTAGATGCTGTGCAAGTCTACTATCACTCTAAACTAATTCTCGCACAGTAAACTGTCCTTATACTCACCCTGCTGTGGAGCACACGGTGGACATCGTCGGAAAAGACGGTCTAACTGTCGTGTGTGTGTGTGTATGTGTGTGTGTATGTTGTGTGTTTGCACGATCATCTCGAAATGCCTCCCTTGGCTTCCGGTCATTGCGCATGCGTTAAACTGGCACCAGGGCACAAAAGCAAGACTGTTAGATTGAAATAGCTGGATTTTGTTGCACTAACTGAAGCACGTATTGCGTGTTCCAGTCAGTCACTCGTGGTGCTGTTCATTTTTTTTCGCGTGTAAGCACACATAGTGACCGCTGCGTTGTCGCGAATTACGCGATGCGCTGGACAACCTTATGCGAGAGGCATATGATAACTATCAGTCATACCACACAAAAAGCAATTGCAAGGGAACACACTCTCTAGGGGGTGATGATCAAAAAGGTAAAGCAAGGGAGCCGCACGAGTTCAGTGTTATGGTGATCCCCCAGGAGCTGTGGCTCCTACGCCAATCCTAAAATTAAAATGAAGGGAGACAGAACCCAGCTGGAAGACTATATTTAGGCAGGAGTGGACACACAGGAGCCCAGGATCGTGAAAGCAACCGCCAGTCACGTCGTCCCGTAATGGTCGAGTGGCTGGGGTTGCGCAAGGAGTCTTCTCAGGGTCGCGGTATTCGGTCATTTCATGGGCGCTGTAGAAGCACGCCAGCCCAGATGTGCTTACGGCACCTGCTGTGGGAGTTTGAAGGCACAAGCAGGAGCGGTTACAACTTCAGCCTTCACCAGAGCTTCATCGACTATTTACAGTGATATTGTCAATCCCATCCGAAGTTGTCGCTTCCAGCCGACTGGAAGGGCGCCTAGAAAACTCTTCAAGGTAAAAAGTAGGGGTATTTGTGAGATCTCGCGATCCTGACGAAGTTTGGACGACTTTGGAACTCCAGGATCGGCGCACCCGAGGAAGTAATTGAATGTCAGTTTTGTACCTTGAAGTTAATGACGGACTGCTGACCTCCGTGGTCAGAAAAGTTACCGAGCCCAAACAAACATCAGAGGCCAATGTCTGTGAATTCCTTCGGTGGGTCGAAACACTTGAAGACATGCGAGTTGACAAAAAAGCGGATCAAATACAGTTCATTGGCCTCTTTCGGATGGAAGGAAAACCATGTAAGATCGCAGTTGGTAGCCAGACATAATACGTTGATACTGTCGAAGTGGGTACTTGTTATCAGTAGGTGTGCTTACCTTGTCTAGGGAACTTGTTACCAGTAGGTGTGCTTCTACTGCATTAGGTAGGTCGCCCGTTTCGGTCAGGCTGTTGGGTTTAGTGAGGGTAAGGGTTAAGCTTAGGTTAAGTTTTATGATCAAGGTGTGCGTTTTAGGGTCAGGTTTCAGTGTTAGGGTTAGGGTTTAGGTTCCCGCTAGGGTTAAGGTTAAGGTTAGGGTTCGGGTTAAGGCTAGGATTGGGGTTAGGCCTAAGGTTAGGGTTCGGGTTAATTTTTGGGTTAGAGTTAAGGTTAGGGTTAGGGTTGAGGTTATGTCTAGGGTTAAGATTAGGGTTAGGGTTATGGCTAGGTTTTGGGTTAGCGTTGCGTTTTAGGATTTTGGTTACGTTTCGGTTTCGAGGCTCAGCGTTAGGCTTTTTCGGTTGCTGTCAGGGTTGGATTTTAGGGTTAAGATGGGGCTTTAAATTTCTGCCATTATTCAGTCTACTTAAAACTTCCCAACACTTTCCCTGGTAGCTTTACTTTTACCCAGAATCTCCAGCATTCCTCTACCAACCCCTTTCATTTCCCCCATCCATATAACTCCCTTTCCCACCATTCCCGTACGACAGGGACCTGGCTGTCCGCCTCCCCATTCCTGGCTACCAACTGCGATCTAACCGTTTTATTATTAGTGAGGATGCACTGATTGGCCGTGGGGGTAGGTTCCCGCGGGGTCGGCCTCACCCTCTCTCCCCCTCTCCTATACACACTTCAGCTATCCGAGCCTGTCAGCAAGCTAACGATTGAGTGGGTACAGTCGACCACAAGGCTATGCAACTTGTCCACGCATGGTACACACGACCTGATCCCTATTACGCACACCAGACTTCCATAAGAACGTATCAGATCTCACATCATTAAAGTGTCATAAAAGAACCGCTGAGAGGCAGTTATTGAAGCCTGGCTCTCAGTCGGACCCGGTTACCTCCTCAGTTGGCAACATTTCTAACCAGGGCACACGATATTTAGACCCTCATTGCTGAGAACGTTCACCGTATGCTCCACAGCAGGGTGACAGCAGGCATGGTGACTTGCACGTGGATAAGTTTAGAGTGATAGTAGGCTTGCGCACTGCATCTACCCTACTCTCCTCCCTCATCCGTCTGGGCCCGGTGTCAAGAAGACCGGAGGCGGGATCAAACGCAGGCTTTCCCAGGACAAGAATGGGAGGCGACTTGAATCCAAACTGGCTGGGAGTGCCATAACAGGTGTCATTTCGGCCCAACACTCAATTCTATGTTGATCGATGCTATCCTGTTTGTTAGCGACCGTCCAATATTCCCTCAAGAAGGGCAATTTAGATTATACAACGCACTGCGGACTTTCGATACTGGCGAATTCTTATCACACAGTCGTTTTATCGATTTTTTTCTGCCGAATTCTCAACATGCCCGAGCATATCTCGGGCCAAACAAGTTTGACCGAGATGTTGTCCCCCCACCCATCCACTCCCTTGATAAAAATTATCCCATTCACTGTGACTTTCACACTTCAAAGGCTTTGTGACACCCTCGTAGATTTCGAATCACTCTTCAAATAGACTGACGTTTATTTTCACTCACTCGAATGGTTGTCCGGCGCATACCTATCATTACGATTGCTCTGGTGACTAGGGTGTGCCGAACAGACATGAATTCGGAGTTGGTTACTCGAATATGGGGCGTGAGTGGACAAGAAGCTTATCAACAGTCGTTCGAGCTTCCACAGTCTTTACATAAAATACACGCTCGGTGGCTTTTAAAGGTGTGATTTGTCTGGCAGGTGTTCACTACTGTTTGATCATTCGCGTAGGCTTATGCGTGCTTTTCGTCCGGTTTTCTCAATATAGGTGCAGCCACCATTGCTGCTGGAGAAATAACACGTAAACGTCTAGTTATTCTCGGGCATTAGGAAGTCACTTAATCTGTTCCTTCGGCTCCATCGTTGAGGTGATGTGTGCCAGCAGGGTGTTCCCAAGACAAGGAACGGGATAAGTGAACAACCCTTATCGAAGTCGCTTACACAGTTGGCCGCGTGCAAACTCAAGCAAGCAGTGTCTAAAGCACTTGGCGTGACCAACCATATATAATGAGCCGAAAGTCAGTCAATGAAGTAAGTTGTCGATCAATGTCAATCCTGCACAACGAGCAGGGGTGTGCGGCTACGGATATTTTATTGACTGTAGGTTAGTCATCCACCTCGTAATCCGTTCAGCGAGAAGAGCAACGATGGCATACGTGGTCCCACCTGAATAATGGACGACAGGGACTCTTGTAGTATGAAAAGGCTATTTATAGAAGTTTTGTGGGTGGACCAAATGGAAGGGATAATTAACGGTCCCTGTGGAAAACATTGAAAAAATCTCGCATTTCTGGCATATGTTTGTTTTATTACCCCTAAGATGTACCGGAACACACCGAGCAATTCGGAAAATGCTAATTAAGAGCGTGTAAACAGACATGACTATTGGTTAACGATGGCCGGATTTCAAATGACCGTATGCAGAGGGCAAGCTTACCCCTAACTTCGACCCCAACCCTCTCCCTAACCCTAATCTTTAAACTAACCAATAAAACTGACGTTCCTTAGGCCACCATGACGTCCCAAGGAGCGAGGCCTGGAAGGCTTCCAACTGATCAGATAACTTGGTGCTTGTCAAAACTGAGAGTCTGACTGGAATGGTTCCTTCCTAATATGGCATCTAGGACACTCTCACGCCAGTGCGATTCGGGCCTCATGCAGTGGGGACCAGGACGCACGTGGTACGCGTAGACAGACTGTTTGTATGTGCCAGCCGCTACGTCCCAGTCCATCTTCAACCGCCCTCACATTGTCTTGCCATCAGAGCCTAGTGGGTGAGAAGGGAGGAGAGTGCAGTGGATGCTGCCCAAACCTGCTCAACTGTAAACTAACTCGAACTCAAGTCGCCGTAGAGCTCCCACTGAAATTCGTCGCCTATAACGGCCTAACTGCCATTCCTTGGACTAATTCTTGAGCCACGAAATCGGTCCAACCCAATTCTATCTCCTAGGGACAGATAGGGACCACAGTTTTAGTTTTCGTCCCACAGCCCTGAGGCAAAAAAAACCACAAAGCACACAGTCACAGTCCAAGCACATCAAAAATTAAAATAGCGTGAAGTGTGGTGTTCACAAGTCAACGAAGACCCTTGAAACGGTTCTTTTCCCTCACTCATAACCCTCTTTTCCAGCTGTCTGTGTCCTCCCAGGACTCACAGGCCCAGAAACCCCACTGACCCCTCCTGCGTACCGTTACCGGCTTGCGGAAAGGATGGCCTCTCGAGTGGACCCTGTGAGCACGGTGGTCGATGTATTCAGGACACCAGCAACCCCCTGGAGTACCGCTGTCAGTGCCCCAGCGGTTATTCGGGCAAAAGATGCGAGAATCCACCACCGGAGCCCTTCTGGTCTACGTGGTCGGGTTGGAGCAATTGCAAGTGGCCGAAGCCCGCGGAGGCCTGTCTGGTGCGAGCATATCGAGAGAGCACCAGGACCTGCACGGCGGAGGGGCTGGGACAGGTGTGCCAGGGAGCAAGTCGCAGGATTCGTTACACCGGCTGTGACATTGATCTGGTAGGCTGCCTGGTCCTGCTTGTATGATGACCTCTTTATAGAGCAGTCTTTAGAATGAACGCCCGACCCTGAATCCCCGGCTTCCTCAGTAGTTCTTTGGGGTACGGCTGACGGCCGAATGATACTAGGTCAGAAGTGGCAATCGCGGTCTCCCTTTTGTCGATTTAAAGTACTCGCAAGCTAACTGTTTATCGATCGATAGATTACTAGGAAGATTGTAAAGCACTAAATATATCAGAAGTTCTTGGCCCCACATGACCTCAGTCTATCCAAACAGCGAACAGTATACTCTAGGTGGAACATTTTTAAAGAACTTAGACTATGTTTGCTGTCTTGTGAACACGAGAAATCTTCAAATTAAGAAACCCCGCCCACAAAACAAAGTCCAACCAGATGTTGCGATCTCACTTGACACGTTGTGGGCATGTAGCTTGATGCAAAACAGTTCGACCGTCGTTACCGACGATGTCCTCTGTGTGCTCTAAAGCACGGGGTGAGGAAGCACGGTGATTTGTGCTTGAATTAGTTTATAGTGGCGGTGGGCTTGCACAGCATCTACCGCACTCTCTCCTGCCCCGCCTGGGCTTAGTGTCAAGACAGAGAAAAGACCGAAGGCGGGAGAGGTTGCAGGTGGCTGGCACGGCCATACTTGCATCTATGCGTACCACCACACTCCAGATTAATGCATAAAGCATTAGTGACCAATTGAATTTCAGATGGTAATCACATCGAATTCAATACACTGACCTACAGTTAGTGACCTAACTCATGCAATGGGTCGAAGTTTACGAATTATTGCCAATCACTCGCAAACCGACACCTCTTCATGAGTTCAATGTCTATGTTAATTAAGTACTAGTTTAAAAGAATTCAAAACATAACAGAGATATAAAAGGCAGTTTTGCGTTGTTTGGAAATGCCGACTTATTTTGAATAGCGTAATATCCCGAAAACGTCAGAAATGGCTCTAATTTAAAAAATGTTTTAAAATGTATAGAATGTATTCGCATACCAAAAACTAATAAATATGAAAGTAGACATAAAATGACGCCCAGTTATAGTGTTTTAGTGACGTTTACATTTAAATATCGTTCAATAAGTAGTGTGATTTCATATATGACGGTTTGTCATCTGCCTGCATTCTGAGTGTAGATTCCAAAACAGTTTTCGAGTGATTCATGTTATTTTTGAATCGTTTGAAGTAAATGAGATGGGGTTCAACAAGAGAAGCTGGAATTTGCTTGATTGCACCAATGGGGACGTCGTAGGAACAAATGTTTTCATAAGGTGACATGCCATGAGGCCGGTCGGTGCCTAATAAATTTAAATAGAACTGACAGGCGTGATCGTAAACATACCATTTTGTGTTTATAGAGAGAACTTTTCTTCCGTTAAATTAATTTATACTTTTCCTTCGTTTTCGTTTACGCTGAGTTTCAGATCGGCCTCGAAATATTGCTGAATACTTCATGATTTTCAGTGTGTTCACGCGATCGTCCATAAAGACGAATTCTGAATTATTTGTCTATTGAGAACTTTAGAATAAGATTATTCTTGAAGGCATTTACCGAATTAGTGTGTTCGGACACTCCTTTTCACGAAGACGGTCATTTGGGTCACCTGTGAAGACTCATTCAAATATCAAACTTCATTTTCGACAAGAATGACTGTCCACAACGAAAGTCAGCAACGAATATGCCTTCGAACAATAAGAAAACTTTCCTTGATAAGTTACCTCTTGAAGAAGTGCTTTATTACTGCACTCCGTTGACAGATCTCTGTGTACTTTGCATTTTTGCACGGTGAGGCCAAGTAAAAATTTGACACTTTTGGCCGTTTCTTTCACGTTCCTAAGAAATACTAATATTTTTCTGCCGTATTCGTAAGAACATGCCTTTCTCTGCACAATGAGGCGTCCGAAAATTCTCTCATCAGTTTCCGTTATCAGATTTCATGAGATAGGTCATGTACTGTACGTGGCGGCGCAAAAGGCAGTAAATCAGTATATTGCACTGTAAATTCCGACTGCTGGAGGGTTTTGCTACGGCTCCTTTAGAGCACTGACGAAGTACGGAATTCACTTACCAGTGAAGAGAGGGAGAAGCTGCAACAGGCCTTTGCAATGTGCCCCCTAAGCTTCTCAGGCAGCGGTTCAGAGTACCATTATCACTACCTTTTGCTTTCCGACCCCCGATCTGACCAAATGATGCTCGACGACTGGTCAGACGCTGGGCCCGAGGAGGCCACTGTCCTGCTCTTTCCTGAAAGTTTCCGCTCTCTGGACAGGGAGTCGATGCGAGAAATTAATTGGCCCCAAGAAATGGACCTCCTCTACCTCGGTGCATGGTTCTATGGCGCCATCCTCCTCATTGGACTGGTCATTGCCTGGATCAGTAAACTACGCACCTGGATCCTACAAGCCAAGGGTGTGTACGAAGACTGAGTACTTATGGATCTGCCTGCATATATATATATATACATACGTTTTATGAAAAATTCTTCCTCCCCTGTCTTGTCATATCATGCGTTTTAACTTGCAAATGGTATGAACACTATTCCTCTCTTACATCCGGGTTCCTTCAAGTGCGATAACACTGTTTCAGGCTAAAAAAAGGAGGGAGGGGGTGGCGCACGAGCCCCACCAGCTGATGCTGTGACAGTGGCGAGTGCAGTAGGAAGTAGAGACTGTCATAAAGGAAGAAGTCCCTGATGATACACAGCCGGACTGTGGCGCCGAAGATTTTCAGCACCGGCAGAATGTCCGGACGGTTGAAGATGCTCAGACGAGGCGACTGTGCCGTGAAGTCCTGCGCTTGTCGCACGGTGTAATGCGGTAGTTTGAGCATTTCCACGACTTTGTTGCGCTTGAAGAAGCCACATAGTACCTTGGCACCTCTGAACATCGACCAGGTCCCCGGTGAGTTCTACGTCACGGGGATCTGAGGCGTCACTGTCAAGTTTGTAGATCGTAGCGTCGCACGCTCGGGTCTGTAGTTACGGAAGGGACCTCGACGCGAAACATCCTCTCCCAAGGTCTGAGCTAGGGGAACAAGGAATTTGGCGTACGATCTCCAACAGCGTTGCAGCGTACTTAGACTTCTGTACCAGGCTGGCACCGTGTTTGATTAACAAATCTGCAGCTTCTTGGTACTTCCAGAGACAGGCATAATGCATCGGGGTAGCACCGTGCTCGTGGGCAGTGTCAATGGCGAGACGGCATTAGGCGAGCAAGTACTACGCCACACTAAAATGTCCATGCGCCGTCGCCCAGGTTGGTCACGTTGACAGCGGCACCCCGAGAGATGAGGGGATCAGCCACAATGAGCTGGCCCTCGCGTGCAGTCCAATGAAGCACACCGAAACGGTACTATTTCAACCGTCGCAACCGGCAAATTCCAGTGGTGTCCCGCGGTGTGGGTGGATCGATGACTTGCACTTGAATCTCGTCATGGTGAGGTGGACTTTCGCCGTATCTACCTCACCCACTATTCCCACCACTTCCATCTTTTAATAGTAAGACAAGGCCAAGAGGGCTGGGGGGGTGCGCGTGGGCTGTAAAAGTAAACAGTTTGTCTACGCGCGCCACACACGATCTGGCTCTGAACCGGGCTTTGTTTAGGGGATCTCGAAACTCACGTGGGGTGGGAGTGCCGTAAGGATCACAGTAAGAAATACCCATCAGACCTGAGCTTGACAGATTCGTCCTGTCAGTTATCAACCTTCCAAGCAAGGACTGTTAGCATGCCGTAGTAGTGTCCAGACGTGCTTTACTGTTTGTGGCGACCTCACTAAATCCTTTATCATCCGCGCCCCAGTGGTCTCTCCAACCCAAGTAAACTGGGTATGACATTGTAGTGGCCCTACTTGGAGCGCGCGTCTCAACACTGGGCCCCTCGTGAGCGTCTGCACGTGCGCACCAGGACTGCCTGACATTCGCCCACTCTGCTCTCCAACTGGCCAATCAGATTCAAGGCCGAGTCAGACGTGTCCTGGCTTAAGACGCTGCGATGCATTACATCGGCCTCTTGGGACGGCGCTCATCCGGCGCCGGGCGTGCCCGTGTCCGGCTGCCAACTGCTTCCAACTACTTCTGCGGTTGGTCTGTACTGAGCGAATTATCCTCCCCACTGACGTCCGCCTTCCCTCGCCGCCGGAGACCGAGCCTGAAGGTCATGGTAGCCAGAGGCTCACTCTCGACCTAGCCGGCCGCGATAACATCACGCGCAGTGACCGATGTGACATGAAGTCGGCGTCCACCCGCGTTACACAGGGAGTACACCAGACTGCCCATCGATATCTAAAATGACAAATCAACCATAGTCATGGGTGACACTATATTTGTTATACGCAAGCGGATGTCTGGAGGGGATATCAGAGCAGGCGCGACAGGCTAGGGGGCTTAACAATCGTTCAACGAACTACCATTGGCAGTCCTCCATTCGTAACGCGGCTTGTGGACAGATGGTCAACTAAACCAATGCGCGACTTTATGGTGAAGCCGCAGAAGGGTCAGGCTGGCGGTCGTACCTTGTTTCTTGGTGGTGTCAGTTTTGTGATGACTTTGGAGGTATCCGCCATGGGCGAAAGGTGACTGGAACACTAGGTCCGATTAAGGGGGGCATGGGAGTAATTTCCTTTGTGGTACTGGTGTTCTGGGCGTGGCAGATGGACTAGGAGTGTCGGGGTGGATGCACAGGTGACTGCTGTGACCAGTCCGGCATTGTAAAGTTTTCAGGTGAGGCGAGCCTGCTGACAAGGGTTGGGAAATGGCAAGGTTGGTCCTCAGAATTCCCGATTTGCGTGCCTGAGATTTCGGTTCGGTCCTTCGTATGTGACTAGTTTATGGTTCACATTTGACGACAGATCACCGTATCAACCGATCCTGCTCAAGGATCACCCACATGCATCGATTTAATAAATGACACTTCGGTAAGTAGGCCAAGGCCTTATTGTGACATTGTATTTGGTTGCCTTGGCGACAAACACCTGTGGCAACAGCATCATAGAGGAGTCGAGTTGGCGGACAGTCCTCATTCATCCCCACGACGTGGGCTTTCCAGCGAAGTTGGATTTCCTTCGGTATCGCAAATGCTTTCGACACGTCAGTCGGCTCCCGTGATCTGAGTGTGGGGAAGCCGTTCTTACTGCTTTACATCTAGTATGTCCCAGACACAGCTCAGCCTAAAATGGTCCGGATCCCTTAGTGGTTTTGGCAGACTATCTAGGCCTTTGTGACATAAAGAGGAGTTATGCAGGCTGCAGGCATGTACTGGAGGCTGAGGAAAATGTTCCGGTGCTTCCGTACAGAGGATTGAAACCAGTCCTGCACCTTCAAAAGTGGAGACTTGGACTACAGTGGTGCTACAACTGTCGCTGATCTTTATTGACCATTCCCATATCACACGGTTGGCGCCATTGAAGACGAAGAGGTCCAGCAGTCACTGCGCATCAGTTTCAGTTGTGGTGGTTAGTTCACTGTCTCCGGAGAAGAGGTATTTTGGTCCCGCCCTTGAAAAAGTTCGTGCGAGTGCATTTCAGGCAGATGTCAAGGTGAGATCGAATTCCACTCACTTCTGACGATAGACGTCGATCAACACTACAGGGGACATGGCACCTAGGAGGACTGCAGAACTTATGCAAACCTGCTTCACCGCGTTTTCCACGGAGAGTGGTTTCAAGATTGACCCGTTGCTCCAGAAGCGTGTAATCATGCCACCGTAAAGTTGTCCTACTGGCAGCTTGAACCTTTCGGGATATTCCTACTTCATCGGAATTTCCCAGAATGCTTAGGTTTAGCGTACTGATGGATTTGGTGAGACCTGAATAGTGTGAATAGACGGACTCATTTCTTGACGTTCTTGCCTTCTTGCCCTTCGACTGCCATTATCCCGGAATCCATCCTGCATCTTTGACAAAAGTCTTTGTTCAAGATGCAAATTCAGGCAACCGAGGGGAATGTGAGCTAAGATTTTGCTCTTGTTTTGTAGAGATGGAAAATCCTCATGTCCTTTAAATGTTTTAGGGATTGTCGTCGCCGCCACATACATAAATGAAAGGTTATTTCAGCCAAAGCTTGAGGGCCAACTTGTATGCAAAGGTCCACCGGGAATAGGTCGGCGTCTGGTGCCTTTCCATTTGTCTGATCATCTCTTTTAGGGACGGAGGATTATAAAAATTAGCACTATAAGTCGGTTAACAGTTCCCCGAGAAGCAAATATAGGTGATTGAGGCAAAATGTGATTACCGACAAAGACAAGAGAGACTAGAATGGTCATTTCTGGTTTATTAGACGCAGTCAACCAGTCATACCCAACCCCGAAGTGTGGAACACCTGGGGCTCGATCCCGCAACCTGTTGGCCAGAAGTCCACCGCCTCTGCCTATATCATGCGCCGCTGTGCGGCCGCTGGTTGGACGTGAGAGAGAGCCCTAAGGCACAACGGGAGGAGTGAGTTCCGTAGAAACGGTCGGTGAACGCCCCCCCCCCCCCCTACCAGCGTACATCCCCGATCGAAAGGGACAGGGCAGCGAATACATGGCCCAATGGTTCGAGGCGTTGGACTCCTAACTAATGGGTCGCGGGATCGAGACCCAGGTGTTCCGCGCTTCGGGTTGGGTGTGACTGGCTGACGACGGATAATAAGCCAGTAATGGCCACTCTGGTCTCTTTTACCTTTGTCGGCAATGCTATTCTGCCATGCGTCGCTGTGCGGCTGCTGGTTGGGCTCGAGAGAGAGCCCGTAAGGCACAAAGGGACGAGTGAGTTACGTAAGAACGATCAGCGAGCGTCCCTCTATCATAGGTGATTGAGGACGCACCTTAAGTTTTCGACCCAGTATTCCAAGATCCAGGATTTCACCGGTAACAAGGTGGTTGCGTTTGGGCTGGACGGCGCCACAGGTCTGGCGGATTGAGGTCGATGAGGCGGCACATTTCGCTGCCGTTTGCGTATCCTTTGACTTACTCTGTTTTCCATGCAGACCAAGTATTACATCTCCCACAGCATTTGCTGCAACTGTTATCGGCCCCGTGAGAAAACTATCTTGTTTGCGGCGATGTTGTTGCTGGTATTGTAGACCTCGGGAAGCTTGTTCCTCTCGGAGAGCACATGCTTGCTTTCAGCGTTATCGCCTCCGAAACAGTCCTGGCGGTGTTGGTGGGCAGGCCCGTGACTTTTAGTGACACCCCGCAGGTCACTCCAGGTGTTATCAAAATTCTCATTTCTCAGCGTCCCTCCGCCATGCCAGCTGACGCTGGTACTCTACGCAAGATCTCGTCTGCGTTATATCTACTGGTACTGTAGTGCGGTTTGGTTGGACGGAGGGGTGCGTGCCCCCCGTACTAAAGATGGTCCGGTGATGAATTCCGGGAGAGTGTATATTCCCAAGCCCTTACGTTAACTGTAACTCTAAAAACAAGCATAACCCTCATGATTTTAGCTCTA